TGATCTTCCCACTGTGGCCTCCCAAAGTTCTGGGATTACAGGCATGAGCCACCTCACCCAACCTCAAAATATATGTATTAATAACCAGCTACTTTGCTTTCAATTAAAAAAAATACATTAGAAAATGAAAAGGCAAGCCACAGACTGGAAGAAAATGTTTTCAATACCTATATCCAATAAAGGACATCCAGAACATATAAAGAACTTCTACAAATCAGTAATAATTTTTTAAAAAGACACATAACTCCATTTTAAAAACTAGGGAAAAGACTTGAACAGATACTTCACAGCAGAAGATACAATGGTCAATAACTACATAGTGTACACAAGTACATAATGAGTACAAATGGTCAGGCTATCTGGGACAGACTGGATGAAAATCAGCTCAGACTGAAGTGTAAAAGCAGCGCCACCATTAATCAGACGGGGAGAAGGGACACAGATAAGCCACTTGGCAAGGAAACGCTGTTTCTCCCAAGGTCATGCAGCTGTGGTAAAATGCCATAAAGACCCCTCTTTGAGTGATCATTGTTTCATTACCAATGATGCCCCAGGCAGGCTCTGGTATTTTCACTTACTACTGAGGATACCCATGACAGTGCTGAACCCTTAGTGAATCCCAGTTCTGCTAATCCCTCCCAATCTCATCTCCGAAACAGCAACCAATCGAAACTGATCCCAGCTCTCTTAGACGCTCCTCAGAATCCTGTGGGAGCCCAAATCCTACAAAAGCTGCTTCCCTGTGGTAGAACAGCATTCTGGAGTTATTCTGGAACTCCCTCCTTGGGGCATTCTGATTTTGTCAAACTACAGGCTTTTTTTCAGGCTGATTAGGCTTCAACAAGGTGTTCAACATCATTAGTGACCAGGGAAACGAGACAGTACTTCATACCCACTAGAATGGCTCAATTTAAAAAAATGACAATATCAAATGTCAGTGAGGATGTGGAGCAACCAGAATTCTCATATTCTCATATGGATATTTTCATATATTCATATTGCTGGTAGAAGTATAAAAATGATACAACCACCTATAGTGTTAAACACATACCTACCCTATGACCCAAAAGTCTACAGTTAGGCATTTACCCAAGAGAAATGAAAACATATGCCCACTAAAACAAATGTTCATGGGAGCTTTGTTCATAATGGCCTCAAACTGCAAACACCTCAGATGTGATAATGGGTCAACGTACTGTCATGTTCAGTAGAATACTACTCAGCAAACTAAAGACTATAAACGACTGGACTCCTGACACATAGGACAACATGCTCAATCTCAAAAACAGTGCACTGAACTTTAAAAGCCAGATATGAACTGGCTCAGGCCTATAATCCTGGCAGTTTGGGAGGCCAAGGTGGGAGGATCGCTTGAACCCGGGAGTTTGAGACCAGCCTGGGCAACACAGTGAGACCCTGTCTCTACAAAAATAAAAAAATTATCCAGGCTTGGTGGTGAGTGCCTGTGGTCACAGCTACTCAGGAGGCTGAGGCAGGAGGACTGTGTGAGCCCAGGAGTTCAAGGCTGCAGTGAGCTATGATTGCACCACTGCACTCCAGCCTGGGCGACAGAGCGAGACCCCAGCTTTAACAAAAGTCAGATGTAATAAATACTCTATGATCCCATTACATGAAGTTCAAAAACATGCACACCTAAACTAGGATAACTGAAATCAGAACAGTGGGTACCTACTGGGGTAAGACTGTGACATATGAGAACCTCCTGGGGTGAGGGAAATGTTCTGTATCTTGACCGGAATATTGATTACCCAGGTGTGTAATCTGTGAAATTGTCAAACTGTTTACTTAACATCTGTACCTTTCACTATATATAAATTTTACCTCAGAATAAAAGACGAGCCAATTTTATCTCACTCTCAGTATATTTTACTGGTGGGTTAATAAATTATCATTTTTAGCCACAATTCATGAGATTCTACCATAAATTCTGTCCGTATTCCTAAGACATTAAAAAATACCCTAGGAGCACAGAAGATACATATTTATCTGGAATTTTAATTTGCTAAACTCCAAAGCAATCCTATGAATATTTACTTACCATGAGAGTTACAAATCAATTCCAGGGGCTAGAGGGATAGTTAATATTTCGTACTGGGTACTCTGCTTGTATTTTACAGGTATTATCGCATTTAGTTTTCATGACAACCCTCTGAGATAGACCTATTATCAAATCATCCCCACTTTATTAATAAAATACATTCAAGGAGACTGGGGCTCAGAGAGACTGATTTGCTCAGCGTCACAGAGCTGGCAGGCGACAGAGCACAGATCTGACCTCAGGCCTGTCTAGCTTCTGAGCCAGACTCTCGATCATTCTGCTCATGAACAAGGCAGGCAAGAACTAAGTTTTCTAAATAGGTTCATCCAAACCGAAACGGGACAAAATCTAGATCAGGCCTTCGCCATCCTGCAAGCCTCCTGGCTACTCCCGTCTCCGACTCCCCCTCTACCCTTTGTCTCCAGAATGACGGCTCTAAAATCACCCAAGCCTGCTTCCCAGCAAAAATCCTTTTAGAGGCTCCTCTTGGCTACTCTGAAGGTGTCCTCAGTGTTTGGTCCCCCAGCATGCAAAACACAAAAAAGGAATAGAGCCAAGCATGACTACTTTTCAGTAAAGAATACAAAGGGGTGTGTTTCAAGTACTGAAGCCATTTCTCAAATGAATCGTACACCAGATGACAATACAGGAACTAGGTAAAGGCAAAGCTGCTGTGTTTGTAGAAGGGGGAAGAGGCAAGAGCTGTTCTCTTCTCAGCCCCTATTCCCTGCGGCCACCATCTAAAATAACTCCTTGGGCTTGGTGCTAAGGAGCCTGGAGTTCCTGCTGGTCTTCGCAAAAACTTGCATTCGGAGTCCTCCGAGTCCTCTAAATTCGAGATCACTGCGACTTTCCCCAGGGCACGTCCCTTCCTCTCAGCTCTCCATCCTAAGCTGATGTACGCTGTACTCTGGGTCATCTCCAAAACTGTCACTTTCCTAGTTCCACGTCCATCAATGACCTGCCTGTAGGATCAGCCTGATCCCCTCGGTCTGGCCCCCCTCATCACAGGAAGCCTCCCCCCCAGATACCTCAGTGCTCCCCGGCCACCCTCAGCACTAGCACCGAGCTCTGTTAAAACTTGCAGCTAACATAATTGAAGACACAAGGATCTAATCTTTTGAATTGTTTTTTTTAGCTGTTTCTTGTACGTCAGTCTTATCTCATCACAAAAATTTCACCTTTCTACAAAGTCATCGACAAGATCTTCCTCTTGATCAAGTAAAAATCTCCTGGACTTTGGAAACAGAGATCTGAATTTAAACCCTGGCTACTGACTGTCCATGATCAAGCCATTTATCATTTTGAACCGATTCTCTCAGGGCTGCTACGAGAAGGAAATTATTAATGAGGATAATGATGCCGCAGGCAGAATAAGTTTATGTATTTGTTCTCTTTTTTTCATCACAATGCCCACCACAGTGGCAGGCACACAGTTAGTCATTAATAATTTCTCCATTACGTTCTACCACGTAGTAAGGACATGCTATGGGCAAGTTTGCCCCCATGGGAGCTAAAAAGATGTAGCTTTGCTCCTTGACCTTTCCAATTTTGTTGATGACTATAATTTCAAGACTTCAAAAAGCCAGGTCTAGCAGAACAGGAACTAAGTGTTTCAGGGAAATTACACTCGAGAATGTCTGCCAAGGCGACGCAAGGTCCCACCACGCTCTGATCCAGAAAGCTAATGGGCAGCTTTAATGGAGCACTCAGAGGCTTGTGACGAGGGTTACAAACAGGCTGTTCTGAAAGCATTTATAATACAGACAAAAGTTTTCCCGGGGGAAATGCTGGCTCTCTTTTCCTGCCACATGAAATCAATGAGCCCACATTATTGGGAAAACGAAGAAGAACCGAGGCCTGGGTGGCTGGGAGGCTGAAAAGCAAAGCAGATGGGCTCTGTGGTTGGCAGCGTTAGACCTGGGACGCCCGCCCTGGTGCAGAGAGGAGCTGCACAGCATACCTGCGAAACTGCGCTGCTCGTGCATCGAGGACACTTTCCTGCTGGCGCCATCTCCAGAGTCTACACCATGCGTGGAAGGCAGCGGGCAGGGCTCTCTGCTGGAAATGACTGTCTGCTCTGGCCTGCAGCGACTAGAGTAAAATAATGAATGGCCTTTGTACATTTTTTTTACATGACCTTTCAGGGTCACACTCCTGAGAGTGGGTTGCTTCCTATATAATAACACTGAGAAAAAGATGAAAATCATTATTTTTTTTATCTTTGCCAATATGCTAGGAGAACAATGAAATATGGGTGAAAATTTTTCACTTTTTAAAAGTGGCTTAAGCATCTCTTAACACACACATACACAAGAATATATGTATATATAATATCCCCCCATGACTTAGGTGTTCATACTATTGCCTGTTTTACTATCTGTCAGCATTTAGCTCAGTGATATGTACAGACTTTTTGAACCTTGAAAAATGTGTTAGTCTTTTGTCACGTGTGTTATATTTTTTCCACCCTATGTCTTTTGATTTTGTTTATAGTGTTGGTCATAGATTCTTTAATCTTTATGTAATTATAAAAGTCTACCATTTCACCAACATATCAGTAGGAAGGCAGTCAATGGACACTAGAATATACTGTATGTGCCTCCATGATCCAAAACTTTGGGGAAAGAAAGCATATATGCATGTGAAGAAGTTTGAAAAAATAGCTGCAAATTCTCTGATCCTCATTCATTGAGAAGTGGTCTATGTCCCCTCCCCTTGGGTCTGGGCAGGATAGGGACAGCTTTCACCAACAGAGCATGGTAAAAGTGCCACTACGTGATTTCTGAGGCTACAGAAAGGGCCATGCAGCTTTTGCCTCATTCACTCATTTTTGAAGCCCTGATGTCTGACTACCCGAGGCCACCATGCTGTAAGGAAGCCCGAGCCTCACAAAGAGGCCATATTTGGCCTCTGGTTAACACTCCCAGTCGAGCCCAGTCTTTGAGTCACTCCAATCCAGGATCTAGACATGTCAGTGAAGAAACTTCTAGATGATTCCAACACCCTGCCATTAGAATCTTCCCAGCTGAGGCCCCAATAATCATGAAGCAGAAACCAGCCATCCCCACTATGTATTGTCTCAATTTTTGAGCAACAGAATTCTTAAGCATAATCCAATGGTTGTTGTTTTATACCACTGAGTTTGGGATGTTGGGATGATTTTTTACATAGCTATAGATAATTGGAACAGTATGCATGTGTGTGTGTGTGTGTGTGTGTGTGTGTGTACACACATGGGCACATACATTCCTACCCGCACAGAGGAAAAAAAGACACCAGGTTTACTCATCAAATGTCATCTTAAGAGGCAAGATTATGAGTGTCTTTATTTTCTTCTTCTTTATGTCTTTCTATACTTTCCAAGTTTTCTAATATATGATGTTCATATATTGCTTTTCTTTTTACTTTTTATTATGGGTTTTTTTAAATGTAAACAAAAGTAGAAACAATGGTATAATGAATCCCCATGACCCTCTCATGCAGCTCCAACAGTTAGCAAACATTGTGCTATCCTGTACACGGCTGTCCCTCAGTATCTGTGGGGGATTGGTTCCAGGACCCCCAGAGGATACCAAAATCTATGGCTACTCAAGTCCCTTATATAAAATAATCTAGTATTTGCATATAACCTACACGTCCTCTCATATACTTTAAATCATCTCTAGATTATGTATAATATCTAACACAATGTAAATGCTGTGTAAATATTAATAGTTGTTATGCTGTGTTGTTTAGGGCTGCGGACCAGTACTGGTCCATGGCCTGTTAGGAACCAGCCCTCTCCTCCATCACTCATATCACTGCCTGAGCTCTGCCTGCCCCCAAACCCCCAACCCATCCGTGGAAAAATTATCTTCCATGAAACCAGTCCCTGGTGCCAAAAAGGTTGGGGACTGCTGGTTTAGGGAATAATGACAAGAAAAAAGTCTGTACGTGTTCAGTACAGACACAACGATCCATTAAAAAAAAAAAAAAATGTTTTTGATCCATGATTGGTTGAATCAACAGATGTGGAACCCACAGATGTGAAACCCATAGATACAGAGGGCTGCCTGTGTATTACTTTTTAAAAAGAAAAACCCACAATGAATAACATTTTTATCTTTTCAAGAATAGAATAACTGATGTGCTCCTGGGATAGCTATACCAAGAGGTGATGTTTAGGTTGTTAGCTTGAGATTTAAAAGCAACAACTAAGCAGTGCTCCTACTATTTTTCAGACCTCCTATGCCTTTGAAAGTAGCCCATGCTAGAGCAGTGCGAGAGACGAGAATGCTGACCCTGGGCTCACCACCAGTGCTGAGCCCTGTGTCAAGGACAGCTCTCTCTTTCCAGGAAGGAAATAAAAGAGACCCGCTGCTCTCCTCCTTAAATAAACACAACCTTTCAACCGTGACACTCGTGGTCTTTTTCTAAAAGGCCTCCTTCCCTACCTTCTCTTGAGCTGGTATTAAATGACCTTAAGAAAACAAGTGGTAGGGACCTTTCAAAACCGGCCACATATTCCAAAGGGATGTCAAAGAATGCAGTAACTGTAAGAATTTCCTAGGTGTGGAAGGCAAGGGTGACACGGAAATAAGCCATGCCGTGGATTAGTACCATCGAAACCCTAAGAACTGAGATGATCCTTGGGAAAAACTCTGAAGTGATCAATGGCAGTTTGTTTGTTCGTTTGTGCTTTCATTTATCCAAGTACCAGTCGGCACATCCCCCGTGCCAAGCACTGTGTTGGGCTAAGCAGGAGAGAGAGACAGGCTGTACTCTGAAGGAGCTCACAGCCTGGCAGGAGAGCGGCCAGTGAACAATCATGCGATGACTGTTCTAATAAAGCCAAGCATGTGGGGGTGAGCCGGGCTGGGGGAGCAGGAGAGCGCAGAGTACCTTCAAGGAGGACCGGCAGCTTGGCTGGTCAGGGTGCAGCTGTGAAGGAACGGAGTGGTAACTGGAAAGATGGGGAAACAGATAGGGACCAGCTCTTGAAGGAGTTTGTAGACCCTGCTAAAAATCTGGATTCTATCCCCAAACTGTGGGGGGCCAAAATCTTCAGATTTACATGTTAGACTCTAGCAGCAGATACAGGTGGGGAGGGGAGGGCAGCAGGAAAATAACTGGGAGGAGTTTGGTTTGTGTCTCCCTCTGTTTCACTGCCAGGGACGGCCAAGAAGGGGCACTTTTCACAGCAATGCTCAAGCAGACATCATTCATGAACACACATTCCCACCGAGTATAAATGTGCCTTTGAAATCCTTCTAAGTGCAGCATTCCAGACTGTTACTCCCAGTCACTATAACTGGCCTGCAAGATCATATTTATTCGCCACCCTGGTGCTAAATGGAGTCCTGTAAGAGCAGGAATTTTGTCTCCTTGTATCACAGTTGTATGCTCGGTGCTTAGCACAGTGTCTGTGGCACAGCAGTTGCTCAATGAGTATTTCTTAAACGGAATTGACTCTTTCTCAACCTGCCTCTACAAATTTGTCATCCTGACCCCTGGGGGACCTGCATGTCACAGCTTAGCACTGGGATACAGCACTTACACTCTGCACCTCTCCCCATACCCGCTGCAGCTCCCGCTGGGTGAGGGGCTGGCTGACTCACATCATAAATGAGTTTGAGTAAAGACGAATGGCTGAGAAGAGCTCACGACTCTCAGAGAACACCTGCATTTTCACAGCAGATGAAGAAATGGGAGTCATGCGGACTTTCTGACATCAACAGTGGGGACTGGAGGAAATGCCTTTGAGCTTTTTCAGCACCCTCCCTTCCAAATCAGAACAATGAGACCTCTTGGCGTAGGCCTTTTCCAAGAATCTTTCCAAAGCAAATGGATCCAAGAATGCAAGCCAGGAGAGCCATCTGCTGTAAAGAACTCCATACCTGCTGGTATCGCCTCTTCTGAGTATACTGTAACCACAATTTGATACACTTGCATAGCAATGTTATCCTGAAAGAAAACAGAGAACACCAAGGTACTGACCATCCTCATCTTCAGGTTTCAGGTTTTTTAAAGTTTGTTTTGTTTTTAAAGCAGATAAATCTGGGTATAGTTACTTCTTGAGAGTTAAAGGCACCCCATGGGCTTACTAGTTTCATTCTAGGAGGGAGAGAGGGCATTTAGATATATTTAACATGAAAGCTGTCAAACCCTGATTTTGGACTGTGGCTTGCCTAAAAATGTTAACAATTTTGTTGTAAACCTAATTAGACCACGAAGCACAGTATCTCTGGAACTTAGAAAATATGTATAAAATCCTTCAGATATCCTGAACTTCCTGGTTTTATGGCCAAACTCTGGGGCTCATTTAGACTACCTGGGTCTATGACATGCTCCCTTTCACAGCTGGTTTAATAAATAAGGATTTAGAATAATATACCTTGACAACTCTGAATTGAGTCAGTTAAATATTGGGATTCTCATTGACTCATTAAAAAATGCTCCAAAATTGGCCGGGCATGGTGGCTTATGCCCATAATCTTAGCACTCTGGGAGGCCAAGGTGGGAGGATCACTTGAGGTCAGGAGATAGTAACTAGCCTGAGCAAGAGTGAGACCCCGTCTCTACTCAAAGTAGAAAAAATTAGCCAGGCATCGTGGCACGTGCCTGTAGTCCCAGCTACTTGAGAGGCTGAGGCAGGAGGATGGCTTAAGCCCAGGAGTTTCAGGTTGCAGGGAGCTATGATGATGCCACTGCAATTTAGCCCAGGTGACAGAGCAAGACCCTGTCTCAAAAAAAAAACAAAAAAAAAACCCAAGCTCCAAAATTGGACGTATGACTATGCAAATTAAGTGGATTATACTGTGGGGAGGAGTAGGGATGGAAAGGAAGGGGAGGAAATATCAAACATTTCTGGCAGCAAGAAAGTTAATACACAGTGGTTATCTCTGAGGATTAAGATCAAAGAGTTGCAGGGAGGAGGCCAGGCAACTTTTATTTTTCATTTTACACCTTCCTTCCTATAGTCTTGAGTTTTCCTCACAAATATGTAGTGCTTCTATTTATTTATTTTAAATGAATGACTAGCACCAAAATAGAGGACACTTCCTGCAACCTTCCAAACTGAGCCACAAATACCCACCTGGCCTGACCCTTCTCTTTAACACTAGCAATGCATGAATTCTAAGATGTGAGCATCTTAAAAGCTATAGGACTGACGCAGTGAGCTACCAGGCATAAACTTCAGACTATAGTGGCTAAGAACCAATATAAATATCCTCATTCTACCTCCCATCTAATCAGCCAAAAATAAAATGCAAATTCAGGAACCACTGGTTTACAAGCAGAGCCTCTGACCCCAGAAGGCCCTTCTGAATCTGCCACACCTAACTTGAGGAAGGGTAAGTGATCGATCACTCCTGGAAAATGGATGAAGCCAGAGTCCCTACCTGTAGTGGTCCCAGGCGGCACACAGTAAGGGGAGATGCTCTTTTTCCTCTCTCTGTTCAGTCCGAGACTGCCAGAGGTTCCAGAACCTGCACAGCAGCTAAAAGACGACAGGAAGGAAATGGAAATTTACTAAAATGAAGGAATCCTTCTCCAACAGACTGTGAGCTTCCCCAAAGCAGAAATTATCTCAACTTGGAGCAGCCAACATACAATGGGTTTCAAAATAATTATGGCTGAAGTATAGAGCCAGCTGAGCCAACGTTAAAGGCAAAAAGATGGTTCTTCCAGTCTATGGAAATCTGGATGAAGAAGCTATTGCTAATCTGGGCCTCATGGAAGACAAGGCTTTTTTTTTTTTTTTTTGAGACAGGGTCTTGCTCTGTCACCCCAGCTAGAGTGCAGTGTCATCATCATAGCTCACTATAACCTCTAACTCCTGGGCTCAAGCGATCCTCCTGCCTCAGCCTCCGGAGCAGCTGGGACTACAGGCGTGCGCCACCACACCCGGCCAATTTTCCTATTTTTTGTAGAGATGGGGTCTTGCTCTTGCTCAGGCTGGTCTCTAGCTCCTGTGATCCTCCCACCTCAGTCTTCCAAAATGCTAGGATTACAGGCATGACCCACTGCACCTGGCCCCGCCATTTTAAAAAGTCATTTTAGAAATTAAAACTGATCTTATTACGTACTACCATCTATGAAGTAGTCGAGAAGAAATGTTTAACTTCAATCTAATCAAAGCTTTAGAACTAACATATCTAGTTTATGGATATTATATAAAGGGAAATTAAATGAATCAAAAGGAAATAACCAGATAAATCAACTATGGAACATTGTACAGAATAATTCTCCTGTCCTTTTCAAAAAGTCAACGACATTTAAAAGAAAAAAGTGTACATTATGCTCAGTGAAATAAGTCTGTCATGAAAGGATAAATACTGCATGATTCCACTTATGAGGTTTCTAGAGTAATCAACATTCATAGGGACAGAAAGTAAAATGGTAGTTTCCAGGAGCTGGAGGGAAGAGGAAATGAGGAGTTAGTGTTTAATAGGTAGAGTTTTGGAGGTACAGAGTTTTAACAGGTACAAATGTTTTGGAGACGGATAATGGTGATGGTTACACAACAACGTCAATGTACTTAACATCAGTGTTGTACAATTAAAATGGCTAAAATGATAAATTTTATGTTTTGTGTATTTTACTACAACTCAAAATTTAAAAAAAAGTTAAAAAACAGAAATGTGGTTGGAGGAAGAAATTGTTCTAAATTAAGAGCTTTAATAACTAAATGTAGTTAGTGATCTTTAACGGAATCCTGGTCTGAAAAAAAGCCATTTTAAAGGCATTTTGGGGAAAACTGTGGGAATTTGAATATGGACTGGGTACTGGAGAATGCTAGGGAATCACTGTTAATTTCATTAGGGATGATAATGATATTGTAGTTACATGAGAAAATTTCTTTATCTTTGGGTGATGAATCTGAAACATTTAGGTACAAAGTGTCATGATGTCTATAAATACTTTGAAATGATTCAGCAAAAAAAAAAAAAGCAAATATAGCAAATATTAACAATTGTTAAATCTAGGTAATGAGTATATAGATGATAATTATATTACTTTTTCTGTTTTTCTATATGTTTGAACATTTTTCATAAAACAATAACAGGAAAAAAAAATCCACCCTTTTATGCCCAGAAACAAAATTGACAAGTAGAGATAATGTTTGCTGATCTTGGGTAAACAAACCACTGAAGTGAATAGACTTACAATGGAAACACGACCAAAGCCTCCTATGATCCGAGACTTAAAGTGTATTTTTATCACTACATCCCCAAGGTCAGGGTTAAAATCTATAGTCCCTGACCTCTGAGTCAACTATCCATTTTCTTAGCAAACATAAAAACTGGATTAAACAAAGCAAAAAACAGGAGTTTCTCTATCAGCAGGTTTGGATTCCTCCCAAAAAAATAAGAACTAAGGTTTTGGAGTCTAAAATCTGCACAAATCTTTGAGCACAGAGATGTAAAAAAAAAAAAAAAAAAAAAAAGAGTTCTGTTTAATTCGGCAAGACGCTCCCCCAAAAAAAGACAGAGAATGGCCATCAGAAGAAGTCCCCTGATACGAACATCACCCTCACCGTGACATCATGCTGCTGATAAGCGAGATTCCTTCTTATTCGATGGAGGTGGGCACGGGTCACATTGTCTTTTAGGGCTCTAAAGCAAAAATACTGCACAAAGAAGAAAGGACACAACCGATTACAAAGACTAGAATCAGTAAAGTCTGTAAAAGAGTAGATGAAGGCAGGCGGTGCCCCAAATCAGGGCAGAGAAGCTCAGTCAGAGCTTCTTACAGCTGCTCCATTTCCCTCAGAGCGTTTCTCTGCTTGGAAACTCGAACCGGAGCCTAACGCAGGCCGGCCTGCACCGTAGGCACTTACTCAACATTTGTTGTGCCAGTCCCTGCTGTCCATCTGTCCTACCCAAGAACACACACACCCTCACCTCTGACCAGGAGAGACTCCCATGACCCAGATCAGAATTCTACAGACAAAGGTTGAACATCGACTCTTGCCTCTCAAAAAAGAGACAGACTTTTTGCCTATGGTTGTTTTTTTGTTTTTTACCATGTGGAGTCAGCGGATACATTTACATAACTATAAATGCAGAATTGCTGGAATGGAATAAGGAGTCCTTGGTGAGTAGAGGGTTGGGGTGGTGGCAGCATACCCAGGCCTGGCTCCAGCTCCATCAATATCACCTCACGTATGACCTAAGCAAAGCCCATCTGTCCCCATTCCCCCATGCCTTGGGCTTCAGTTTTCTAAGACGGAAGTGATTAGGCTGGATTAGGGGTTTTCCTATTGTGCTCTGTGGAACCCCACGAGCCCCTGAGAGTGTTTGAAGACCACCTACCTCACGTGGCAGGGGAGGGAGAGAGTAGCTGGTAGAACAGGGACTGACTCCCAGGCCTACTTCAACCACAGCATCGATGCTTTGGCCTATTTTACAGATTAGCCACTAAAAAGGGGTTCTACCATACAAAAAAAGCCCAGGACTAGACAACCTCTTAGGGTCCTTTACAGCTCCAGACCCCTCTGACCCCACGCCATTACCATTTTTGATCCAAAATTAAAACAGGGACACCCACAACGAAAGGAGGGCTTCATGACCAAAGCTAACCCATAACTGGCTGCACTTAATGAGTGGGATGGGTGTTGGGCTCCCCAGGAGTGAATGCCTGAGCAAGGCCGCCAAGTGGAGCTGTGCCAGGCTGTGGTGCTCTTACCAGCAGGCTGTGCCTGCGGTGCTCTTCTGCCATCTCATGCTGGGCAGCTTCTTCCGCGTGCAGCAGCATGTCTGCCAGGAAGTTAAGGCCTCAGTCTCAACAAGGTTCCCGCCCCCAGACAGTGCATTCCCAGTGACCCACCTGAAGGGTCATGGCTGCAGGGGGTAACAGGCTCAGCAGGTGAGCCAATGTCCCCCATCTCCTCCGCATGACCCAGGGAAACAGTGGGCAAAGGGGAACCATGTCAGTTACTTATCAAACAGCTGGCCTTGTGTTCCTCCCCTTGGATGCCATTTGATGAGGCAAAAAACATCTGAGATAAATTACCACCAATTTCAGTAAACACTTCAAAATCACCATATCAAAAAGCAGAACCTGTTCTTTCCCCTGGCAAGGAGATCCAGTCGGATGTTTGAACTAAAAACCTTGGGAGTTATTTTCAAACCTTTCTCCTCCTGCTCTGATCTCAGTCACCAAGTACGTCTGCTCTCCTCCTAAATCTCTCCTCTCCCTCCCCTCCTGCTCTTCTGTCCCCCCTCCCCCTCCCCCATTACCAGGCAGTTCATCTGACTTGTCCCTGCATAAGTGAGCCTCCTCCCATAACTGGTCTTCCCCTGCTAGCCTCCCTCTTCTACTCCAGAATTATCCTTTCTAAAGCACAAGCCTTTTTTTTGAGACAAGGTCTTGCTCTGTCACCTGAGCTAGAGTACAGTGGTGTGATCATAGCTCACAGCAACCTCAAACTCTTGGGCTCAAGCAATCCTCCTGCCTCAGTTTCCTGAGTAGCTGGGACTACAGGTGTGTGCTACCACACCTGGCTAATATTTTCTATTTTTTTGTAAAAACTTCTAACGCCAGGTGTGTTGGCATGTGCCTGTAGTCTCAGCCACTCAGGAGGCCGAGGTGGGAGGATCACTTGAGCCCAGGAGTTTGAGGCTGCAGTGAGCTATGATTGTGCCTGAAAATAGCCCACTGTACTACAACCCGGGCAACACAGCTAGACCCTGTCTATTAAAAACAAACAAACAAAACTCCAGAGGCTTCCACCTCTGCCCTCCCACCATCCACACCCCCACAACTCACTATAGATTCTTAAATGTTCTTCCTCACCTCTAAGCCTGTGTAAATGCCATTCCTTACACACGAAATGTCCTTCCCAACCTCTCTGCTGGGTGAACTTGTCATCTCCTAAGACTTAAAGTTCAGCTACAACATTACCTCCTTGGCTGAATCTCCACACCGACTCTCACAGGACTTGATACAAATATTTATTGCGCTGTATTTAAAGACTTTTTTTCATGTCTATTTTCTCCACTATGTTAGTCTCCGAGCTTCCTTGTATCCCAGAACTTAAGCAGGAGTTTAACACAAAGCAAGACTCTGCTGTGACCTTGAAAATTTTTTAGCTCCCGAGTCTCTGTTTCTTCATCTGTAAAATGGCGACAGTCACACCTACTCCACAGGGTTGCTAGGAGGATTAAGAGGATAATGCATGATGTCTGCAATGCAGTAAAAGCTCAGTGAATGGAAGCTATGATCACAGTGACGGTATCGCCAAGAAAAAAGATAGCTGGGGCTATTTCCACCACCTAGTGGGTGGAGAAAAGCAATGAAATGATAGCACGAAAGAATGTTAATCAGGACAGTGGGATTAGCTCTGAGGGAAGGAGGGAATGCAGTCAGGGAAAAGGTGTTGGAACTGTTCTGTTTTTTAAATTGGGTGGTGAATACATAAGTGTTCATTTTATTATTATTCTTTAAAATGTAAGTATGTAAGTACTCTTTTGTATGCATAGTCCCAAATAAAAAATTTTAAAAAGAAGTCATAGAGACGAGGCTGTCTAAAATTGTTTGGTAGTTGTTTCCCACGTTATCTTGTGACTTTTGTTTTACGTGCTGCTGAGTGCATGCTGTCCTGGCTGAGGTGATGGACAGGCCTGGTATCTGAAAAGGATACAGTGCTTCCAGTGCGTAAAGGCCCGCCGCAGCACCATCCTCCGGGCCAGCTCCTCCACCCGGGCACGGTGAGTGTACAAGCTCTCCCTCCGCTCCCAAGCCCACTGCCAATCATAGAAGTGTATCTGGAGCACAGTGACACGATGGAATCGCTCAGCCATCTCTGCAACACAGACATAACCTAAGTGCTGCTCCCCCAAGGTTGGTAGATGAGCTTGAAGCATCTTTAAGACAAGTAGAACCCTGCCACTGGCAGAGAGTAGGGATTCAAGGCTGCTCTCACAAAAAATCTTTAAGTTTTTGTTTTTTTTTAAGAGAGAGAGTTTCACTCTGTTGCCCAGGCCAGAGTGCAGTGCACATGATGGCGCACTATAATCTCAAACTCCTGGGCTCAAGCGATCCTCCTGCCTCAGCCTGTAGCTAGGACTACAGGTACATGCCATTACACCCAGCTAATTTTTAAATTTTTTATAGAGATGGGGTCTCAATATGTTGCCCAGGCTGGTCTCTAACTCCTGACCTCAAGCAATCCTCCTGTCTTGGCCTCCCAAAGCACTGAGATTACAGGCATGAGCCACTGTACCTGGCCTAAAAGTTTGTTAAACAGTGGAAGGTCATTAGGAATCCCTGAGCTACATCTCCTCACTTTGGGAAAAGAGAAAAGGTATGTGATTTTAAGGAAGATGATGCTATAAAATCCATTAAATCAAAGGGATGAGGCTTCTAGTTAGACATTAACAAGCAAGAACGGAGACTGTTGTTTTCAAAGAGGACTCTGTTTTATGTTTGCCTCTATAGGGCTGTCTCCTGGATAGGACTTAGGAACTGAGTCATGACATGGGATTCAGTCGCCATGCTTGCAAAGGCTTTTCTGAGCTTTCAGCCAAGCTGATCCTGGCTGCTAGCTTCATATCCTTTTAACAATAATCAGCTAATGGTCTGAGGAGCTGAAGCCCAGGAAGGGGAAGGGAATCAGACCTGGAATCTGAATGCTATAATTGGAGGCAGGAGTTAGTGTGTAGCTTATCGCACTAAACGGCTTAATGTTTTGATTCACCTTCCAGGCTTGGGCAACTGGATTGCTGGTCCATGGTTATTATCCTCAAATGAACACAATCAAACTCTCCCAAAAGACAAGTGTTGGTAGGCTCGGAGATTTCTGCAGGGAGGGCTGGGCAAAAGCCAGAATCTATAATCCAGTGTCCAACACAATGCTTGACTCAATTCTGTGTAAACTTGATAAACTTAAGTACAAAAAGTATACCAACAATCACGTTTCTATGTATTATTACTTCTGAATCTAACTGGGGAACTAAAACCATAAAAACAGTATACAAAAACTTAACAAAATAAACATGCATTTGTATAATTGGGGACAAATAGAAACAATCTACATGTCTATCCACAGGAGAATGGCTAAGTAAATTAAAGTAAGCCATCCTATAAAATATAAATAGTCATTAAAAAAAGCTTACGATAAATACTTAAAGATGTAGGAAAGTATTGATTAGCTGCATGAAAAAAAGCAAGCTATAAAACTATAGGTATCATATTAATCATAATATGGGCCAGGAATGGTGGCTCCTGCCTGTAATTCCAGCACTACCGGAGGCCATGAGTCTGAGACCAGGCCTGGGCAACAGAGTGAGACCCCCATCTCTACAAAAATTTTAAAAATTAGCCAGTCATGGTAGCATGCACCTGTAGTCCTAGCCACTTGGGAGGCTGAGGTGGGAGGATCACTTGAGCCCAGGATTTTGAGGTTGCAGTGAGCTATAATCATGCATGCTACTGCACCCCAACCTGGGTGACAGAGTGAGACCCTATCTCCTAAAAAAAAATCACAGTATTTATAGCATAATTAAAAAACTATTTGGATAAAATATATGCATAGATGAAAAGGCCAGAAAGAAATAAACATGAATCGAAGATGATGTGTTTTCCTCTTCAATATCCTTTTACCAAAATTTGTAGCATAATGTGGTTACATTTCTTCTTAATATAGTACCACTGGCAGCAGGAGAGTAAAATTGTGACCAGACCTTCTGTCAAGAGCCCAGGGCTTCTTTCTCACCGTTCTGCTGTCTCTTCATCCTGCGGATGTGCAAGTATTCAAGCCAGGCCTTCAGGAATCTCCGCTTTTGCCAGTGCTGATGGTGTTTTGCTGCGGAGACCATCTTTTCTTTCTCCCTCTGGTCATGCAGGAACTGTTCCCGCCACTGTGACCAAGCCTGAAATCCAGAGAAAGGATAACAGTCAAAGGAGAGGCAGGGAAACTGGGGTGAATACAGGTAAGGAGGGAAAAGAGAAACAGAGACATGCCCTGGAAAAGCTAAAATTAGAAACAAGAAGTGGCGATTCCCCAGCAGGATCATAAGCTGCGGGAATCTGGGGTGAAAGGATCTTTAAGAAGACTATAATGCTTCCAGAAAGTAATCTTTTTCTAGATTAAAAAAAAAAAGAGGGAAAATAAAATCAACAAGCAGACAAGAAGCAGGTGTGATATAATTAAATCAGATCTAGGATAGGCGAAGCTCAGCCTTTTCTTCCAAAGTGGGAGGAAACCTATTGGGAAGAGGCCCTTTCTCAGGCAGGTTAGTTTCAGGGAAGCGCACCTATAGAAGTTGACGGTGTACAGGAGGATCCCCTTAAGACTATTCATAAATACACCCCTAGAAAAGTCTTCGCGTATCGTCAGCAATAATGCATGCCCTAAAGATGATTTAGACGAAGACTTCATATTGTCTTTTCTTAAACCTGTAACACCTCTTCTCCTTTCCTTACTCTCAAGTGAATACCATTCTTCCTATTTCACCATGAAAATAAAAGCAATCAAAAGAGAATTTCACAAGGCCCCACCATGTCTACCCACCTCCCATACACAGGCCCTGCCTCCTCTCTCTCCAGCTACCTGGGATAAACTGTCCACGCTCCCATCCAAGGTCACCCCGCACTGTGGCTACATCCATCCTCTCTCACCTTCTCAAGTTTATCACTTGGCAATTTCCCCTCTCTTCTGCATCATCAGTTTTCACTATTAGATTTTAAAAATCAGCATATGAATGTACTATTATTTCTCCCATCCTAAAAAAAAAAAAAAAAATCCCTTCAGGATGTGACAACTAAAAGCAGTGGGTGACCTTTGAATGGACTCTGGACCAGACATGAAAATAGTAATATACAGGTTTAATATGAACTGCATATTACATATTATAATAATATTAAATGTCTTGGATACAATAATGATATCGTGGTTATGTGGGAGAATGTCTTTTTTTTAGGATATATAAGCTTTAGGATACACTTTATGTTTACAATTTTAAAGTAGATCATAAAAATAAATATATTTATATACTCAGGGAGAGAAAGCCAATGTGGCAATATGTTAACAATGGGTTAAACTAGGTGAAGCATATACAGTATCTACCTTTTCTGTGATTTAGTATTTGTCAAAAGTAAAAAGTTGGCGGGAAAGATTACTGTCACAAAAAAATACTTCCTGAAAGAAATAAAGCAGTGATTCTCAGACAAAGCAACACCCCTCTCTAGACCACACTTCGCTATCCAGCTAGCTTTCTACTTCTTTCCTTTCCGAGCTTCTAAAAACAGCTTGGAAAGAACTTTCTTTTCTCCCAGGTAGACTTCCTTGAACCCACTCCCACCGGTTACAGAAACTGCTCTTATCGGTGCACCAACGGTCACCTCCACGTTGTTCAATCCAAAGGTCAAATCTCGGTCCTCACCTCCCCTGACTTTCCAGAGTGTCTGACAAGTGTCACTCCTCCTTCTCCTGCTTCCAGGATGCATCCAGGTCCCTCCTCTGTTCCTGTTGCTCACTCACAGGCCCTGCTTTGGAACCTCTCTTCCAGCTACACTCGCTCCCTTCATTCTTTCACCTACTCTTGTGGCCTTAAATAGTATCTGCCTACTGAGGACTCCCAAATTTACATCTTCTGCCTGGACTTGTCCTCAATACTCCACAAACACATCCCGCTGCCTCCCTGACATCTCCCAGTGGATACTCAAAAGATCCATCACACTGAAGATACGGAGTTTGGATTAGAGCTCCTCCTAACCTTTTCCCACAAACCTGCCTCTCCCTGAGTCTTCCCTGTTTCAGTAAAACTCCACTGTTCTAGTTGCTTGCGTCAAAACCTGGGAGTCATCTTGTACTCTCTCTCTGAGACGTCCCATCTCATCTATCCATTAGCAAATCCTTTCGGTGATACCCACAAAATATATCCAGAATCCAACCATGATTTGCTAGCATCCTGCAAAATCTCGCCTGGAATGCTGACATAGCTTCTTACTGTTCTCCCTGCTTTCGTCCTTGATCTTGTCCGGTCTACTGTTAACACCAGAGGGGTCCTTTTTGGCTTCTTTTGGCTGTTATGTCACTTAAATCTCTCCTTTTTTTGTGACAGTTCCTCTCCCTGCCTTTTTTCTCTTTCATGCCACCAATCTATTAGAGAAACTAAGTCATTTATCCTACAAAATGTTCCACATGTTGGATCTGGCTGCTTGTTTGTTCCTCTGAATCTTATATTTCCTATAAACTGAGAGATTTGTGTCAGGCTTGTTTGGAGCCACATTCGGTTTTTTAGGCAAGAACGTTTCACAAGTGTGCCTGAGCCCGCCCTGTTGCGTAGTACCATGAGGTGCCCCACGTCTGGCTGCTGCAGCTGTTGCAATGCCAAGACTCTTTAGTGGCCTCAGAGAGCACTTAGCCTGATTCTTCCTCCGTTTCCCCAGCACCCTCTCACCTGGTGACTACTGCCCAGATCCACGTCCTCATTAGGGGTAGCAGACCAGTGATTTTCTAATTCC